TTGGTGGACAACTAAGTACATATAGAAGAGGTTCATTCTCCTGAGATAGTGAACCAAAGTGGCTCTGAACTCAAGCAGATGAATATAGGGGAATTAAGAAAAATTCTACATTCTGAATATTAAGATTCCCAGCCCATTTCCTCCATTTAGTCTCTAAAATTCTGGGAGCTAGTAATCTTGTAGATTGAAAAATCATTGCTTGGACAAATTGGTCCAGAGGAAAAACAAATATTGGTATTTAGGAGCCCTAACAAAATGATCAGGGAAAACTAAGTTCAATAAGACATAAAGCTTCTTATTGATCTTAATGTCTCACACTTAAGTATAGACTTGCAAAGATACAGACATCTGTTAAGTTCCTTTGACTGAAATAAAGGGATGAAAACAAGTAAGCAAATAATAAAAAGTAGTTAATGAATATTTGGAGGAAACAAAAACAAAATAAATGAAAATCCACAAAAGAATTAATGTGCTCAGATTTAAGATCACAAGAACACAGCAAAATAATTATGTGACAAAATGAGCTTTTGAAACTGAATCAACTCCTTTCAGCAAGGTTAGTTCTGTTTAAGGAAGTGTCTATGAGGTCAACTCAGATACTATAATAACTGCTTCAAAGAGAGTTATTTTCAGCAAGAATCAAAGTTTCTTTCTCAGTCTTATCCTGCCCTATAAATATTATGACCAGAAGAAGGAAAGCATCTGCTCATCACTTTAAAAGCTCGTTTAACAATTACCTTTTCAATGGCTGATTGCTGAACTCAGAAGACTTACAGACTTGCATGACTGGTCTTTTGTTCATCATTCTCTAATATTGAAGCAGTAAAGGAAATGCACATAGCAAGTTGTCATAAAACTTCCCAAATTAGCAATCTCAAAGTATTTAAGAACTGGAGAAACAGTATAATAGATAGAAGACCAAACTCTGTCAAAGTTGTACTTTACAAACACATATACACGAGTATTTCAGAAAGTCTGTGGCAAATGGAATCAAGTTATTTTAATGCAAATGAAGTAAAACCCATACAGATGGATCTTCCAGAAGTTCATAGAAAATGCATACTCATATGGGTGTGTATGTGCTTGTACATACCACTTGAAGTGCAATTCGGAAAAGACACTGTATCCCAGTATACTATGCTTGAAATTTTATCACTATGATCCATTTTAAACTATGAGTCTTGTGTTAAAAATGTAAATTGCATCTAGAATGTTTGTACTTTAGCATGAATAAAGCTCAGGTCCTTTTTTAAAGAAAGATTTTGCAGAGAGCATAAACCCAGTGAAAATTTTGGGAAATGAGCTGCCAACAGGAGCTGAGAGAGTCAGAAAGCAGCCTCATTTCTGCAACTGCAAGCCAGCAGCTCCATGGATCTCCATGGTATCAATGTCCCTGTTCATGCTTGGGAGCCATCCATTGATCCAAAGCAGCAGTGAATTTTTATTTTGAATATCAATTTGCTAGAAAAACTACTGAGAGGAAGAAGGATGACAGGCAGGTAAACTAGCATTTGTGTGGCTTCCAAATGCTTAGTAAACATGTTGCTGTGACTCTCAGGTTGTATATCAACAGCTAGGGATTATAGCTGGGGATTAATTTAGATTTATGTAGAATCTAAGCTTCCATATCATCCTGAGGTGCTGAAGAAATAGACTGTTAGGCAGAGCTTTATAGCCTGTCCTGGGACTTGGAATGAAAAAAGCATTTCAGAAAGGATCAGAGGTTCTGGGGTGATCAGAGTCTAAATTCCTAATCCCTGTACACAAGTTAGCTCCTTTATTCAGTGCCATGACTCGCATCATGGCCAAGCAAGCTTTGTGAAATGTTTCCCCTGACCTCCGCCAGAGACCTCCCAGAAAGTCATTCAGATGTTCTCATTGCAAGTTGTCTAATGTTGCACTTTGGTGTTCATATAAAGGCTGCTAAATCCTGGACTACCTGTGACAATTTATTATATGGTGCCTGACACTTCTTGTGCCAATTTATTATGTGGTCACATTTTCATTGACATTTAAAACTGTTTAATTTTTTAATACCAAAATGTTTACCTGGGAAATAATAAAATCTCATAAAAGCTCTTGTCTCTGTAATTTCTAGCACAGTATATGAGATTTAATTAAAATGTCAAGAGATCAATTTTTTTGTGAAGTTTCCTCCTAAAGTGCAGTGAATTATTTAAGAGTTCTGGCATCTGAAGCAGGTGGTGACCTCTTCTTGTTGTCATTTACAAATGCTTTCATAAATGTTAACCCAATTTTATCTATTAGAAGTTTCCAACTGTAGCAAAATGTAATGACCAAGGTGAGGCAAACCATCTACAAAAGAGAGAAATTTGACAGCATCAGAGATTGTAAGAGGACTGTAGGTCATGCAGAGTCCCAGTTGTTGATTATGGTGTCCTAAGGAAACTTTTTGCAAAGATTTAGTTTCTGACTCTTACAGTCCATGAATGTGGACTTGATTGCTCTGATTCTTAAGTTTTGTACTTAAGTCCACAGTCATCACTTCTTCCTTTATTATGCATAATATCTTCCTTTGCATTGCATTGCATGTTGTATCATATACTGTCTTGTATTGCTAATTTGAGTATTTCTTGTCTTTCAAATTATATTAATTTTTTCTGTATATATCCCCTTACTTTTCTCCATTTAGAAAACTATCAAGTACTAAGCATATCACAAGTACTAAGCAAATGGTTGACACTCACATGTTGCACATAGATTACTATTTGCTCTTAGTAAAATCATTTTGAAATTTACTACTAAGTTAATCCAGTGTTTACATTTTATTCCTGAAGTGATTACATATTTTATGTAAAGAAAATGGCCAGCTGTGTGTTGAAAAGGAAGCAAACAATACTGATGAATGCTATGACTGCGCCACTTATGTCTCAGTGTAGTTTTGTGACAAAACAGTCAGAATATTCCTGTTGCTTATTGTAGGGATGTACTTAATTAGAAGTTAGCAGATCTAGATCCCAGTTCCACTGCCACTACTGTGTTGTTTCCTTGAGAAACTATTCTAACTTATTCTGAACTTATTTTAACCCTCCATGGGACTGGCAGAGAGCAGCATTTTAAGTTTTATGTAAGGTTATGTTATGTGGATAAAGTGAGATGAGGATCCTGAAAGAATTCTGAAATGTTATAAAGAGCCTCACTTCCTTTTATCCCAAACTAATATAATCATTGTATAATATTATTAGAGAAACAGAACTCTTCTTTTATACTTTAGAAGAATAGTAGAATGTGGTTCATGTAGGTGAACATAGTGGTCTCTTGGTATCCATGAGGGTCCTGGTACAATCCCCTGCAGATACAGAGTCTGAGGATGCCTGAGTGTTCTTTATAAAATGGCTTAATGACATATTCTCCATACTTTACATTCTATATTACTTAGAATCCCTAACGTGATTTAAATGCTTCATAAATATTGTAGTGTTTTGTGGAAATATTAACAGAACATCTGTATGTGTTCAATGTAGATATAAAAATTGAAATTTGAAAATTCTCACTCTTGGGTTGGTTGATGCCGCAGAGCCAACTAATGAATAGGGAAGGTGACTGCTCATATTCTAACAGTGACAACTATTGGCAGTTGTCATTTCAATTAGTAGTTCTTTATACATTAAGAACATATGACAAGGAGGGACTTTTCTTCTCCTTAGTGTGGATAGCTTTCACAATGATCTTATAATTCTTACACTTTCTTGTTCTCCTTGCACTCATTGTCACAATGGTTCCTTCCCCTCACCCTTTTCAGTACTACCTGGAGCTGCTGTTTGCATAAATTTGACTTAGGAGGATGAATTTGTTTTTAGGAAGAAGAGGAGGGGTTTTGTTCCACAGTGCCTTCCAAATTAAGTCTACACTTTTAGTTGACAACTTCAAAAGTGTGTTCTAACGTACTGCCCTAGTCTTAACCTCATTCTGTAATGCTATCAAATGACTGGAAACATGTTCCTGTTCAGTTTTCTTGCTAACCTTTTAATTATATTGTTCTCCATATTTGCTTATTGAAATTCTGTGCATTTTCAATCTTTCAGTGATATATGCTTTGTGAAACAAAACCCATCGTTTATTCTATTTCTGGTCTGAGTTAAAACATTAAGCTTCTTTTATATTACTTTTCTTTTTGGTTCTCTATTGTGAAGAGTACTTTGCTGTTTTTATTCTGTTTCCATCTTTGTTGTCAAAACCATGAGCTGCTTAGATTTTGTTCTAAGTATTACATCCAAAAGAGTATTTAGGAGAGTTTTCATAGACAATAACCAATAATATATTAAGAGCTATTGAGTTAAATTGAATTGTGCCACTTTTTACACATGGTTATCAAGCCAAACCTCTCATCTAACTGGACAAATTTAAGTACAAATCTCCTCCAGTGTTAGTGTTCTGAATTAGTCTACTTGTGACCAGAAGGGAAAAACAAAGCAGTTTGACTAGTAGGTGTTTTAAAGTTTTGACAATATGGATTGCTAGCAATAAGTAGCAAGGTATCACAGACACTTGGAGTCATGACATGTTGTTTGCAGGCCAGCCACTTCATATGTCACATGTAGGACTGACATTTAACGCTCAGCTAGAGTCATCAAAACCTAAGAAGAGCACTCTAGAATTTGGGCAGGTTTTACAGACACAGTAAACTGTGGGTTTGACATAAACCCTGCGTTATGCAGTTTCCTTAGCGCTTTGTTTAGGGCAAAAGTAAAAAATGAGCAAATATTTCACAGGAGTACTCTTTAGAAGAAATCAAATTTGAACAAACATTTTTCAAGCAGAACAAATAGCTCTGGTTATTTTCTTGTTCTGACATAAGGGATCTTTCCTGAGACCATATTTCCAGAGTGTTTGCAGTCCTATGAAGTCCATGTCTGCACAAAGAAATAGAGGTGTTACCCTGAGCATCATCACAGATAGGCTTCCAGAGCCATTAAAGTTCCTGTTCTATTACTCCTGTTTTCTCTGCCTCTTTAATTCACATTATCCATATTTTTCAGATTATTAAAACGAGAAGAAGGTTTCACGTTTATTCCACGGTCCCGTGAAGAGCTTCCAGACAATTTCCCAAAGGAAATCCCTGGGATCTGCTACTTCCTGGAGGTAAGGACTGGTCCAAAGCCGCCAAAGCCTTCTCTGTCTTCATCAAGGATAAGAAAGGTTTCCTACAACATCGGCACCATGTTCCTCCGGGAGACAAGTCTCTGAGGCCTGCTGCACATCAAAGACTCCTCCCAAAAGCACAAGCCCAGAAGTTGGGTCAGAACAAGAGCATAGAAGAGATTGTTTCTCTGTCATTGCTTTGTTGAGAGCAAATAGTGAAATTTCTGTGTTGGGTCAGGCAATAATTCTAGAAAAAGGGGATGATTTCTGTCAATAAAAGGCTCAAGCGCAGGGGAAATAAGATGTATCCATTCATCTAAGTGATTTGGTCAAACACACACACACACACACACACATTTTAATTATAAATATGGGCCCCCTTTCAAAACCAACCAGTAAATAGATTGCTTGTTTTCTTGTTTTCCACACATACAGGTATCTCTCCCTATATATTTGTACCACTTTTGAGAGCCAATTTTGATTACATATTCCTACATTTAGTGAGTCAGTAAGTGAGGAATATTTTCTAACTTTCTTTTTCTGAACTGACATTTCATACATATATCATGGCAGTGTGGTAACATTCCCAGCAGGAATAATTGTATGAAAGCAAAATATTTTAGGGATATTACCTATTTTTATACATATCTCTTCTAGGTAATTACATTTCACACAACATTATTAGATTTTTTTCAGAACTTGCAAATGTATTATTGGTCTATTATGTAACACTATCTATTAATCTAATGTAGTTTCACTTATTTACAAAGACTAGTACTTAGGCTGAGAGTACATATAACTGGGGATTTCAGATGCTGGGGAAACTTTCTCCTTACTGTATCTTTTAAATTTAATTAATGTAGCATGGAAATCAGGGGAAATGGAATTTAATATTGACAAATCTGTAACCAAAATTATAGAAAAGTCTCTTTGCCATCTTGTGACAAATACTACTGAAAATGAAATGTGTTGCTAGATGAGAGATATCCTTTCCAACTAAGCATTTGGAAATACAGGTAGCTTTTGCACCACTTAACTGCATTCTAATGACAGTCTGCTACTAAATCATGTGTTAATAACCCCTGCCCTGTCCCCAGTTGGTGCCCTCTAAGGCCTGACTCCCACTCTTAGAACAAATCCCTGGATTACAGGCATTAGTGATAAGGTGTCTGGACATTTTGCCAAGCATGCAGTTCTCCTTGCATAACACAAGAAAAGGAAAGCCCTGTTTTGGGACTAAAAACAAATCTGCAGTTTAATGATGTGACCTTTAAATTCAGTGAACCATGTTTATGAACACTAAACTGGGTCTAACTCAGAACTAGTAGTCTCTGTAGTTATAGGTAGGTTGCCATCACATGTTCTGCTAAAAGACCTGCTCCCATTAATCAACACTGCATGAAAATATTATAGGCTCCCACTGAAATTAGGAGAATGGTATATCCAGAGTTTTCCTATTTCTGATCAGACATAAAATCTACATTTCTATTAATGTTAATGAGCTGGAAGAATCCGTTTCCTTAAAACTTTGGAGTGGACATTTTCTTAATCCAGTAGTTATAGTCATTGGTAGCAAATGTCTACTGAATGTAATATATTTTTTTTTCCTTTCATGGTTGTTAGCTGCATCAAGATTTGGGTAGGGTGTAACTCAGCTAAGAAGTATGTAACAAATTCCCATTGCAGTCTGTGAGGTCACTTAATGTTTTTTACATTCTCTAAGTGTATGGCTAGAAAATATTTATCAGCGTGCACAGTATTTGTTATAATCCTGACCCTGTTTATAATGTGAGCTCTATTCTCATCCTGGTCTATAAAGTTACTAGTGGGTTGGTGGGACATGGGCCCTGAGCTCTCTATACCCTGTTTGCTATCCTCTTCCCTACTCCTAGGTCTGTTTTTAGATTCATGGGGGAGAGGAGGCTTGATGGAAGACCCTGTGGGCTGAGGACAGGATATTATCATGGAAATAATTACTCACAAAGAAATCTCTGCAGGGGACTGAGAGATTAACACATTTGTTTCATGGAGGGCAGTGGGTGGTATGCAGAAAGTGTAGATGGAACAGTCTGGGAGCACCTCTTTGTTCATGCTGATGTTAGAAAATATCTTAGCTAAAACACTGATGGGCTCATGACAGCACAGGAACATGGGCAATAACCCAGCTCACTGAAGTCATTTATGCTTATTCTGTGCAGCAATTTAGAGTTTATAATGTATTAAATAAATACATGTGTTTGTGATAATGTGTCTTGTAACAAAAGCCTGAAAGGGACTTTCAGAAACCATCCAATCTATTTCTGCCTTTTGTAAAGGTTTGTCTAAGCAGCTATTCTAAACACATGGTTATCCTTGCTGTACTTAAGAATATCTGTGGGAAGCAGCTGTATTTTAAAAACATTATTGGAAATCCACTCCATTATCTGACAATTGGTGAGAGGGATTGAGAGAAGTATTACATGTATACTCCCAATTTGTCAGAACAATCACTGTGTATTAGTTTATATGATTTTCTTAGAAAAGAGGTAGCCATTTAAGTGTCACAAATGTCACACTGAAATATACCAGAGATCTATTATATATCAGACAGGATGTAAACCACAATTTTCTTACCATGTAATCTAAATGTGTTTTTGAAGCTATACAATGTAGCAATGTTCTAATTTGCTATCATTTTATCAATCTATTCCAGTCAACTATTACAGTTACTATTGCCATATTTGTTTGCAAGGTACTATAAACAATTTGTTCATTTTAGCTGCAGTTATGTCACATAACTCAGTCTACATATTGTACCTTTGGAATTATAACTATAAAAATATGGTGGCATTTGCCATTTCATTTGACTGACATCTATATACTATCCTCACTTACTTACAATGCATAAACAATATGCATTTTAATGTGACAGTAGAAGGAATTTAAACAGTGTTCTCCTAGAAACCAAGTGATATTAACCTGCGTTAATAGCTTTAATCCACTCAAAAAGGAATACTTTAACATATAACATTTATAATACCCGTGTTTCAGTGTCCTTTCAAAAAGCTAATTTGTCAAAGGCACTATATAACAAGAAGTCATCCATACCAAAGCACTGGATCATTTTGATGGACAGAATGCCACCATTTGCAAGTCTATCGTTATCTAACAACATCAGCATCCCAAAATATTTATTCAAAACTTGCTGTACAGTAACTCCTTTGTGAACCTTAACCAATATTTAACATTGGCCCGAATAAGAGTAATATGCCTCAGAAGAACATTTAGTTAGGTATCTATGCTGTGCAGCATGGGGTAGAGAAGATACAACATCTATGTAACATGTAATCCAACTGTTTAAAATTGGCCTCTACATTAATCTCTTCTCGTATTTTAAATTGTTTTGCAATTCCTTTAAATACTCGAAGTGTGTGGAATCCAGTGGGCTGTGACCTCTTGTGACTTGAAGACACTGATTCTTGAGACTAGAGAAAGGCTCTGTGGATTCAACACTTAAGATATTAACTCTCATGTCTCACACTTCTTGTCCAGTGACAGTGACATCAGGAAACTATTTTAATGTGAAAGTGTGAAAGTGTGTGCCTCTCCAGGAGAAACAAAGCAGAACAAGACAAAAGCAACCTAAAGAAATTTTCATTCTCAAGTGCTGCAAGGCTTTTATATTTGAAAATTCCCCTGAGCTTCAGTAATAAAGCAAAAAGTAAATCGATAGGTACAAAAGGAAAAACCACAGAGTATTTGGAAAACTACCAAGCTCTGTGTTTTGAAGAGAATCATGTTGCCACCTACTGAAGTAGTGTATCTAAAGTTGTGCGATACCAAGAGGGAACTTAAGATTATGACCATCACTGAATGTATTTATTGCAGGCTTCTGGGTTCCTGACTTGCTGGGGCAGGATTGCAGAGGCCTAGAGCAGAAAGTAAAGAACCTACACAAACATTTTTCACACAACTGGACCTATCTCAGCCTCTCTCACTTCACACTGTTTCTGGAGAATGTACCATCCCTTCAAGCCTGGCTCCGTTAACAAACACCATTTTCTCTTCCAAACTTGGCATGCCACAGCATAGCTGTTGCTTGATTCAGGCCTACAGACCCACTCAGTTCCAGGCTTGAGCAACAATTTGGTTCTGAAATGAACTTTTGTCAAGTACATTGCTCGCATCTGCAGCTTAGCCCTCTGCACCTCCTTCAAAATAGAATCTAACTCCAATCACTCCATGTAATGATTCTGCATCTTCCTTTGGAATTCATTATACATGACCCTTAACAGGCTTTGGACTACACCAAAAGCCTTTCAGTCAGCAACACCAAGAAACTCAAGTCCAAGAACCAAGCCTCATATTATATCTTAGTTATTTCTATCTTTTAGTTGACAGACTTTAAGCTGCAGAAATGATAATTTCAGGTTTCTATAAGCATATTTTATGAGATGTAACCCAAAAATCATTATGCTAGTGAGACTTAATCATTAAAATATAACATATTCCACTCTGAATGATGGCTTTATGATATATTTAGTTCACAGTCAGCTGGTTTTATGTGTACATAAATTGTGTTAACACGATTGAACAAAAATTACTGTTAAATGGGTACACCGACCCCAGCTATGGACACAATTTCAGGATACCTGTGGTGGTGAATGACGAGCAGACACTGATGTTAGCTACAGACTAACAAAATCTTGTCAGAGTATATTGAGATAGTGTGCAAAATTCCTTCCTCACACTTTATTCAAGCAACTGAAACCTAAGTATTATTGTCCTGCCATTTTTTTCTTTCCTCCCTTTGTTCCTTTTTCCTTCTTTCCTTTCATTGAAAAAGAAAACATAGTTAATTATTACATTTATTATTGTACAGGAACAATCACAGCTAGTCTCATATTGTGAAACTATTTTACAAAGTAATGAATATTCTTTGTGTGTGTGTGTTTATTGAATGTATATGTTACATGATTAAAGGAAGTCAATTTTTTGGAAAGATTTGGGAATGTAGAGAAGTAAAGTTTGTGTCTGTTTCTAATACATTGTGACCAGATCACAGTTTCGGTCAGGTACCTCATTGCCATCTCACCCTTATTGAGAAATGACCTAACTCAGTGGTTCAACAGATCTACTTGGAAATATCCGGCTGACATCATAAGAATTACCTAGTGAGTTTTAGAAATACAAATTACTAGGTTCTACTTCCAGAGATTTATATTTAGTAGGTCTCAGGTAAGACCTAGCAATCTGTATTTTGGAAATCACTCTAAATAGTATACATCTAGATTTAAAGATCATTGAAGAGTATTTATATAATCCCATTCATTCGAAGTACAAGTAGATTGACAGAGCAGTGTGTTATTCATCTGTAGCTGTTTTGAAAAGTTAAATACTCTAGGTTTCATATTTTTCCTCACAAGTTTTACTTTTAGCTTTGGTTTCAAATTTATAATCTGCTTTGTGAGCACGAATCTTCAAACTTATTAGAGATAGAAGACAACACTGACAAGCATGAGGGATGAATATTGCTCACTATAGGGCTATTAGGCATACTTGATATGGTACATTTTCTTAGTTACTGCCAAAGCTGGGCAGTATATCATAACATTTGCTGATCCTCACCACCAAGGCATAAGCTACGTACTTTAGGACATAGAAATAAATGTGGATTGACAACTCTACTTCTTCATACTTTGAATCTGATGTTATGAAAAGATACCAACTTAAGTCTCACTATGTACTTTTCACATATGAATTGTACATTCATCTGAAAGTGATGTCTTAGCAATACCTTGTAATAACCTTTCAAGCAATAATTTAAGCCATGGTGATGATGCCATATAAAACTTGCACTTCTGTGCTCTTCAGAGAACCTTTGAAGAAATAGAGACATGCTTTGTCCTAAGCAATAATATAGCTGACATGGACTTTTTAAAGATATTTACTATTCTATAGCAAAATGCTTAACAAATGACGATTCAGATATAAAACGTTTGGGCAAACACCATGCTCAATCTACCATAGAAGTTATTCATTCGCAAACATGCTATAAAGTAAATAATATACTCCCATCAGAATATTTATGGTATATAATTTTAAAATTAATTATAATATGATTTTTATTCCTCTTGAAAAGATTTATATATTATATGTAATTGTGCCCAAATCTTTGGATCTTTGTAGTATAAAATAGTAAGGAGCAAGTTGCAGATGGAGAAATGAGTACAAGTAGAGCATAGGTTAGAAGAGTTGATTGAGAAAGTAGGTTTTACAAAAATGTAGGGGAGTCCTAGGACAAACCAACATAAATTTCGTTCTGGTAAGGTATGGAAAGAAAGATTAAAGATGAAAACAGTGCCACTGTTTAATGACAGCTACATTAATGTTTACTAAGTATAATAGTATTTTAGGTTCAAAATATAATGGGTTGAAAGTCATCTGTAGTACAATTAATAAATGTCTAGAAACAGTCATATCATAATATTAAAAAAAACTAGATCTCAGTTTTCAAAATAATTCATATTTTAGTCTTTCTGCAGTATAATTTTAATCAGATGTGGGTCAATTATAATTTTTTAATTGTTACATTTATAGTTCCATCATTTAGAATAACATTAAAATTACAGTTTAATGCGACAGGTAAACTTAAGTTTCAGTCAACAATGTCTGATTGTCAGATTATTAGTTTAGAATCCAATCCTATGCATGTAGATAAGATTACAGCTCCTACTTCTGCCTACCCAGGTAAACTCTTCTCTGGTCCTGAACCTGAACAGAATGGGAATGGTGGATTTGCCAAAATTTTTCTCTTACCTATAACAAAAATTACCATAGCATCCTCGTATCCATAATTTGGAATCTTCCTCCATCAATATCAAACAGAATTGTTGATTCACTGAGAAAATTTTGATAGTTAACTTTTTGTATACCATTGGATGCTTAACCCCTTATTAAGTATACAGGGTTGATAAGGGCAATTCTTTATTTGAAACTCTTAAATATACCAAATTTCTCAGTTTATCCATCTAATCTCTGATCAGTGTTTAATATTGAATAGTATTTGAAAGCAGAAAAGAGAAGGATAACTAAGTGTCAAGCCTAAGTAATAGTTTGCATTTGGTTCTTTTTATATATATTTTCAAATTGATGAATCAGTTTATATTTAATCTTCCTTTGAGGCTTTTTTTTTGTATTTGGAGATAAAGAAGGGAGTTTATTAAATATTTTTACTATGGTCTATTCGATGACAAACATAAGTAGGACAGAAAAATAATTGGGATGATGTCAGAAATGTACAAAATTGCTTCTCAGTACCACACCTCACGTTGTCAAACAGTCCCTTGCATTTTGCTGCCTGGATGTCACATCTCAGACAGATAGGAGGACAGAGAGACAGATGGAGAGAGTAGAGGGTGCAGGTGTAGGTAAGATTGAGCAAAGATTTAACTTTTCTTCAGGAAGGTATATATACATGTATTCTCTAAAAAGATAGGTAGCTTCCGTAGTAGTTTAATGGTTTAATGAAAACCAAAAGATGTGTTTGATTATTGGCCAGTGTTATTTTTAAAAAGGAGAGCGAGAGAGAGAGGATTGACCTTATTGAACTATTTTCAGTTTTCTTAAGAGGTAGTGCCAACCTTTTGGCTGTGAATCTCAGTGAAACTGGGATTAGGATCTCAGAGATATGAATAGAAACTCTGAAGGTGGCAGAGAGAACCAGATGTGGCTACAAAGATTAAGGTAAAGGAAGGTGTCAGAACATCTGGATTGAAGGAACAAAAAAGGCCAGTTACCAGCTGTGCCATGTCACAGAAAAGTCTGCTAAAATTTCCACAAAAGGACAGACTAAGTGGGCAAGTGATATTAAAACATTTTTCCTTTTATAACATGACTAATATTCGGTGAGAAAAAATGCAGTTTTAAGCCTTCTTTTTGATGTTTTTGTTCAGAGATTATAGAAATTGTGTCTTTCTCAAGTTGGGAAGTTTAATCACAAAGACTTGAAATATTGATTTTGTATCCTAAAATCTAGAGAAAAATCATTTTGGGGAGCTAGCCTATATTGCATATTCTTTTTCACACTCCTCTCAAGTTGAGATATGACTGCTAGCAAAATAAATGCTCAACTGTAGAGCAGAAAGAAGCCTTTACAGACTGAGCCAATCCTCTGCAGATGTTCCACAAAGTGTGAGTGGGGAGAGCATTACCTCACCACACTTGATTGGGGTGAGATCACGCTGTGCTCCCGGTGTTCTAAGGTCAAAAACAGTCAGGTAGTCTTTAATCGTCAGATTTTTCACTTACAGGTACCCAGTTAATGCAGACTGAGTTGGTTTAAACTAGAATTTTTTTTTTTTTCTGAAAGGCAGAAACAAATCGGAACATTTATTTTCCCAAAAGAGTCAGGACAAGATTTATTTATATTTCAAACTGAGAATATTAGGGATGTTTGAAAGTTTTCTAAACCTGTTAAAAGTCAGTGAGAAAGAAATTTTTTTCTGGATCCCTTAAGACTTGATCTTGTGATAACAGTTATGAATGACTTTTCGGTGATTTTTTTTTCCTCCATATTTGCCATTTGATACAGAAGCAAAGATATCATAAATAAGACAAACTTCGAAATGGTGGCATTGAGTTGTGGTTTGCATATTTGGAAACATTATTTTACTTAAAATGTTAAACTTTGAACAACTTAGGTGTTAACGGTAAGAGTCAAATAATACTGTATGCAGACATGCTCACTTTATGGTACTGAGCACAGCACCTCAAACTCCTCAGAATAAAATCTAAGTCAAAGTCAATTAATGTTCAAATCATTTGAATATTAACAATAATTTAATGATATAAGTATTCCTGTATCGTCTCTACCAAGAAACTGTGCACTACCATTCCCAATGAAACCTCAATTCCTAAAACAATTTTACTTATACTTCCTCCCAGAGCATTTTCTTAAACGTCACTGACTTTCAAGGTTAGGAAGTAAATGTAGTTTCTTCTAAGACTGGAGTGATCTGGACAAATATTTTGTATATTAGCACTTGAAACCCTTCTTTCTATTCTTAGCATTTAAAGTTACTTTTTTTAAACTCATTTTTAAAATTTTGCTTTATATAGTACAATCTCTGTAAAGTGAAGCAAATTACAGAAGTACCCAGTAGATTTGTCTACAACATGCAGACTTCCTCCTTAGTTTTATAGGAGTAAATGACCATTTTGAAACCAAACCCTAACCTTGGTGTGGACTTTCAAATTGCTATTGAAGTCTTTGGGAAGTTTTCGTAAGAATAAATTATCTGATGACACATCTGATTATAGTCAACAAGGTATAAATAAACCAGAGAGATGTGTAATTTTTTAAAGTAATTTGGGGGTGGGGTTAGAAAAATTCTTTAATTTTTACTCTTGCGTAAAGATAATTATTAGTGGATGGCAGCTATAATTATTATTCCTATAATTTAAATTTGCTTTAAGTAATCACCAGACACTTGGATAATTCATGCTTGTATTTTTTATGTAACTCAATGACCTGGAATAATGGGTAACCATTGCTTTTTCTTTTGATTCTTAAAGACACTCTCTTATTCTAAAAGAATTCTCTTACTAAAATGAAATGCTTACCTGATAAGAGTTGTCCCATTTTTTTAACTTAATATGCTAATCAAAGTGAATATTTAAAGACACAGAAAGAACTTCTCAAATTGTATTTGCCCAAGAGGAAAATTTATTTTCTACTGGAAAAATTGAGCATGTCTTCAATCAATATTTGGTACATGATCTAATTAAACCTTAATATAGCCTTTATGCTAATGATGCAACCATGTAAGAGTCCAAGTATCAAGTATAGCTATAACTTGAATATTAGTAGAGTTTAGTATCAATTCTGAATACCACTCCCGGTTAGTGTAAAAGGCAAGGGTTGCACAGGAAGTTATAGTGTGCAGTAAACTACTCAGATCTTTGAAAGCTCATCAGCATACTGGACTCCTGTTATTTTTACTACCTACGCCCCCACCCCCGACTTTGTCTCTTTCTTCCTTTGTTCCCTCCTTTACTTACTTATTTCCAATACCTATAAGGTCCATGATAATAACATATTACCATTTGGCTTTGGGCCTCTCTTCACTTTCACATGATTGAACACTGTGGACTTATGAGTTAAGGGAAGGAAGGAAGGTGCACACTTAGAGATTTGAGCACAAGCAACTAAGAGAACAGAGACCTTAGCTTCCAAAGGTTTGTCAATCAAGACAAATCTGGGACTATAAAATATGTGTTCTTTGTCACCTATTTTTGTTCTTCAGAAATATCAGGGTTAACCTCTTTGCATAATCTATCTTTGGCTCCTGGGAATGTGTTGATTTAGAAAGTTCTTATTTTCAAGTAGTCCAATTTTTACTTGGATATGAGTAAATAAAAATTAAAAAAGCTTTTTCTATTTGCAAGAAAAATTGCTTTTTGAACATTTCCCAATATGGTAAATACACTAAGTATGAGTTTATTTTACTGGCTCTTTATCTAGAGATGAATGATACATTGTCTTACTTCTTTGGTATGCCTCTGAAATGTGAGTTCTTTTTTGAGGGTCTGAACACTTTTGTCATCCGTTTTATAACTACTCTATGGAAAAGCAATACACAATGTATTTCATATTTCTTAGCTCCGTGCTTTGGAAGTGTTAGCCCATATTGTGATAGTTGTCTTTAACTATAATTTTGAATTCATCAGAATTAACAAATCACCATGCTCTTCAAAAACACACAGCTTGGGTCATTGTGCTATAGCAAAGGATTGATCCTGTACAAATACCAATCCAAAGACTCTTTCCAGACAAAATTAAACCATTTCTAGTATAATATTTGACTCATAAGTAAAAATATATTATTTGAGAGTAATAATGAAGGATCTTCCTACCAACATTTTAATAATTTGAGCAAATCTTAATATTTAAAGGGATTTAGTTTCTAAATCTTTTTTTTCATGGTAATATATTACTATTCAGACCACTTAAGTTTTTTTCTTATAAATTTGTATTCATTATTAGGAAATCATTTGGAAATAGTATAGCTTTTAGCTCTCTAGGACAGTTTCAATAGCCAAATATCTTTTAGATTTGGGTTCCTGTTTCTTATTTGAATTTGTTATGAACCTCAGGTGTCAAACTCCAGCAGATCAGGTAGTCAAATGAAAGAGTATGAAAAACTTAGGGAAGAAATTTTATATTAATTTACTTTTATTTATTTGAGGTCAACTAATCAATTTTGAAATTGTGGAAAAATAGGCAGTTACCATATAAACTGGAAGCTATGAAAATATTTTCTTCCTGTGATTTTCACTGTTAAGAAAAATTTGCCTTAACATGGGAGTCAACATTAAGATATGTTCAGATAAAGAAATAGGACTTCTAATACCTTTGCCACTTTTATTTCTGTGGAAAATATGTTTAATAGGTGTTGTAAAGACAGAAGAAATCTTGTTGAGGAAAACAGATGAAATTTAAACAGCCATAATCTCAAAAGCATTTTCCCCACTAATTAGTTGCGCCTTCCTGAATTGCTATCTTGTGGCCCCAGATAAGTTCACAAGCTAACTCGTTGTCTCCTTTACAAATTTGTAGCAAAATTCAATCCCACTATGTGGAAATTGATTCACATCGTCATGGCAGATTATGACTGCGGTGAAAGTCAGGTTAGGATCAAACAAAAAATGGCCCATGGAGAGAAATACTTTGATTTATTTTAGAGTTGGTTGAAAGGCTTTTTCTCTATTGGAAAAAAAAAATTATCCTGAGAGTTTTGCCTTTGAAAATGTCAAGTTTTATAAAAGCTGCCTGCAACTACATTATAACTTTGGTAATCACATGATAAAACTGTCTCATTATGCTTTTAAAATATACAAATTAAGTGCATTCCAGGAATAATACATATCATTCTTCATTTCAAAATTAACCTACCTGAATTCTGACTCAACTGTGAGTAGCCATTTTACAAAACCAAAGGGTCCCATTTCCCGACCAATGCTTTAGATACCACACTTAGTCCTGCCCATTTCAATGCATAAAATATACAGCCAATGCATTTCCACCAGACATTCAGGCACTATATATAATAAAAATAGGTTTCCCAACGCACTCAATGAAAACATGTAGTTATAATATGATATGCATTTATTACCTTTATCTGCATGGAGTACTTTTTAACTAAACCAAATATATGAATATTTTAACATTCTGGCCAATTTGTTTGCTGCAATTTCATGGGTCTAAATTTTTGGTTTGGCTTGCTATGTAAATAATATTGTATATCTGCTATTTTGCTATCAGATTATACTTTGTGAATCATTTCTTTTAAATATCTAGTTACAACAAAGTTAAATTACAATGTCATCAAACGATACCAGGTAAATATACTAATATATATGTAGGGCATGCATAAATTGCATATATTTTTAAATGTCAAGCTATTTTTTTTTTAAATAAATGAATGCAGCTCTTAAACCTGTACCATTAATTTTAAAAAGTTTTATTTAGTGTTTCATATTATATTTTGGTTTTCTTTTATTCAGTAGTACATGTTTAGAAAAACTTTCTAATTAAAATAGTAAAATATGCCTCATTTCATTAGAATCTTAACAGTAGCACATGTAAAAAGTATATAAGCACTTACAGGAATATAAATATCCTCTATCTTTTTCATGTAACACCACTTTTTATTCATTTATTTGTAATTACTCTAAATCATGTACAATGTAAATAGCATGTTTCATGATACAGCAGTCTTTGTATTTACAGACTGCAGAACAAGATGAATTTGTATATGAAAAATGAGTGATGGGAACTTGGGAGTCATGTGAAGCAAAGTGGAAATACCAATTGTGTGTTATATTTACATAAATCACTGCACAGCTGTCTAAGTCGCTCATTTATTTGCCTTGGAAAGTCCAAACTGTCACATAAAATATTTAAATTAATAAATGATATCAAAACAGAGTTGTGATTCCTTTGGCATATTTTTTCATGCTGTGAATGACAGGGACTATGGATAAAAATTAATTCCAGAGGCAAGGATAAGGGGTCAAATGAATGAATGAATTGAATGGTCACAGTGTATTGCTTTTATCACTGAAAATGAAGCTCCTAACATGATATTCAGCAGGACCAACTTTGAAATATTTTTATAATATGAAATCTCTAATTCTCATAACACTAGACAAAATAGGTGGGTTGTGGTTATTGTAGTGTTAAGCCCTCTATGTGACAGAAAAGACATAATTTGCCTGTCAATTGACCAAGTGGTTGCTTCCTTGTAAAGACAGAACAATCATACATTTTACTGTCACAAGAAAATATCAATTGAATGCCCACTGAGTGCCTGTCAGAGCCCTTGCCAAAAGTTAGATTAGATGCAACACATAGAAGACCATTTAAATCCAATGTTCCTAAACTCCAGCAAACTATGTTTACAAAATCAAGTCATTATTATTTTATGGACTCTCTCCCTCCATGACTGTTTGGTCTTTTTTCTAAACTTATTCATTTTATTTATTTGAAAGGGGAAGAAGGGAGAGAGGGAGGAAGGCAGGGATAGAAAGGGAGAAAGGGAGAGTGAGGAAGAGAGGGAAGGAGGGAGGGGACAGGACAAGTGGAAATCCACAGGGGCTTCCTCCTGTGTTATGTGCCAGGCATTCAAGTTAAAAGTGGCTAATGATGTGGTTGAATAGAAGAGCCGTTCTATGAATTATGCCAAAAAGAGCCGCCCCTACACTGACAATTAGAATGACCAGAACAAAGGAAGTAAGAGACCTTAATCTCCCCAGTACTGCAAAGATGACAGTTTGGCAGTTTCAGCTTTAGACTTCAACCTAGGCCATTTTCCAATATGATGAGGAAATGCCCTTCTGGGTTCAATTCTCCACATCTGATCCAATGTGCCTACTAAGGCTTCTCCTAAAAGACAGAGTGGCAGAGGAGAGACAGAAAACAAAGATCACCCCGCCTTTCAAATAAATAAATCCCTTTTTTAAGAAGCTATACAGAAGTGCCTTATCAAGTTTTTATTGGAATATTTGTCTTTAAGGAGAAGGTTATGATCACAGAAACATATATGCCAAGAAAAAGTTGTTATAGTTTTAAGTGCGTGATGTTTAGAGACTCAAGATCAAATTCAGCTGCACATTTGATTAGCTAGACAGCCCTAAGAAAGTATCTCCATCCAGTTTGACAACTCTGCTTCTCTCAGCCCAGATTTTCAATGAAAACAACTTATTTTCCCATTCTTCTTGCTGAACCTCAACAAGGGAAGACTGACACAAGTTCTCTTTTAAGACAAGATAAAGCCCTTCCAGAAGTAACAAAGCTCCTTATTTTAGCATGCAGTTTATCTGATGTTCTCATTTTAAAGAAGGTAATGGCTTAGATTTAAAAATAATCTTTGATGCTGTGTATAGGACTAATATTTTTTCAATGCGCAACACATAAGGAGCCAACCTAAAAATCATGGTTTGTTTTTAAAGGACAAACAAATGGTAAAGAATACGCATTTTACATGAATTCTGTACTTTTTTTTTAAATGTTGGTGGCCTCAATTTTAGGAATCCTCATTGAGGTTGGTTGTTTTTGTGATAAGAGCCAATTTCCTACAACTGGTCCAAATCCATCTCCCTCCAAAGACCAAAATTACAGTTGACAGTCTTTAAATCATAATCAAGATTTCATATAAACTTTCTATGTAAGCAAATAAGTGTTGCTTAGTAGGATGTTACTAAGAGTACATCAATCAGAATATACCAGCAGCTCAGTGCTCCTACTTTATCTTTTAGATATCTAGTTCTACCTCTTAATAAAGTGTATGTGATTTTTTTTTTTTTTTTTTTTTTTTTTTTTTTAATTTTTGACAGGCAGAGTGGACAGTGAGAGAGAGAGACAGAGAGAGAAAGGTCTTCCTTTGCCGTTGGTTCACCCTCCAATGGCCGCCGCTGCAGCCGGCGCACCGTGCTGATCCGATGGCAGGAGCCAGGATCCAGGTGCTTTTCCTGGTCTCCCATGGGGTGCAGGGCCCAAGCACCTGGGCCATCCTCCACTGCACTCCCTGGCCATAGCAGAGAGCTGGCCTGGAAGAGGGGCAACCGGGACAGAATCCGGCGCCCCAACCGGGACTAGAACCCGGTGTGCCGGCGCCGCAAGGTGGAGGATTAGCCTATTGAGCCACGGCGCCGGCCCAAAGTGTATGTGATTTAAATATTTTCTATTATTCTACACATCATCTCACTATATCATTGGCTCTAACATTAATGCAATTCAACTGGATAAAGCTAACATATAGATCCTAAGTTATATTAAATGTGCCATTAAATTTTAGAAGAAATTGGATGAATGAGCCTGGTTGTCTATTTGCATGAGCTGATTTACATCAAGATATTTATTCATATGCTAAAGAAGAGATATAGTGTGCTTTAAGATATTAAAAAAAAAAAAACTGGAAAATGAGCATGCGGGATTCATGACTCATTCAGGTCCCAGGAATTAAATGTGAACTCTTATAGGCAGGAACTCAAAAAGCCAAAGCTGAAGGAATTGCCCTCTAAGGATCCATGTGATACCTGGATAACAGAAAGTGCTGCTTGCAAACTCAGGTAATAAAATTGACATGGAGTTTAGGCAAGGGATGCATTTCCCAGTTTATGTAAATAGGCCTGTTTAAACTTCAGGGTGATGATTTAAATTCAAAATGTCACCAAGTTGTTAGAAATGAAGTTACATAAGCACAGTCTGTTGCATAGTATAATAACACTTAATGTGTTGCCTATCACCAACTCCAAGTAACTGCCTTGGATAATGTCTTTTCTACCTTCACTGGAAGCATCTCTAGTCTTGTCCTCATGGCTATGGCAGACAGTTTAATCTCACCCAAATACTTCATACATGCTGGCCCATGGGGCAGCACATGTCTGTGTGAACTTTTATTTGTTCATGGAAAAAACTTTCATGTAGCAGAATTCAATGAGAGAATCTGTTTGCAATTAAGAGATTAACAGAAAAGTCACTTCAGCTGTCCTGAGGAGTTTTATTGGCAATGTTTACATTTTTAACTTTGTAAGAATACTTGGCCCTGGTCCTGACCTACCTAGAGAATGTCTACCTTCTCTTCAAAGTGACCACCATTTTGTACTCCTTGATGGAATTTTCTTCATCTGCCACACAACACCCTGTAATGCCACAGTGAGGTATTAGGGGAATGAGATTATCCCAGCTTTATGAATCTGAAGCAGAACAGATTTATTCATTAATAGCCAATGGTAGAGAACCAAGTTATATATTTTGCTGGCAATTTACTGAAAACCCAATTCAATGGTCTGCTTAAAAGTAAAGAAATATTTTATTCTCACAGAACTAAAAATTAACGTATGATATAAAGACTCCATGCACCTGTGATTCCACTCTCCGTTGTATGTTGGCTTGGTCCTCAGACTGGCTTTTTTCATAAAACAAAGTGCCTTTTGTAGTACTTTTGTGTAATCATTGAAGAAAAAGACTCCTTCTCTTCCAGTCAGGCGTAGAGAAGCCTTTTTTTGTGCCAACGGCCATTTGGATATTTATAACATCATCCACAGGCCATGTAAAATTGTCACCTTAAAAGTTAGCCTACTATAGATTTATTGGATTTCTAATCCCGTCTGTGGTTGCCTTGGCACAGCCAGATCAAATGACTTCATGGACCTTATACAACTTGCAGGCCAAAAGTTCCCTACCCCTGCTGATTGGGATGCTTGAAGCAAACCTAAAACTATTTCTTTGACCTGAGGAATACTATATTGTCCCTAGTTGGGACTGGATTACAACCCATCTCTGAACCTGCCAAGGTTTTAAAAAAAAGAAAACAATATTGTTTATGAAAATCAACATCCACATAGTTTTGATTGGCAATTATTCAATAGGAAAGGGATGGAATGGATTAGGGGGATAATAATCATGTAAAATAGTTAAGGTTTAGTTTGCTGTGAGCCACCTAAAATTTGCAATCTATTTAGACATTCCTAGTATCCCAGTTGGCCCAATGTCATTTATTAGTGGTATTTGCATTTTCAAAGCAGGAATCAACATCAATGGTGAAATAGGGTCTAGAAGGTGGTTTTTGGGGAGGAAGGATAGTTCCTATTTCCTTAAATCACATCATGTAAGCAGCCTCCTGCCCTTACTATACATGAAGGCAGTTCAGTGACCAAAGTGTAATGTGAGCTTTCATATCACTACTAAATCATGCCTCTTACAAATGATTAACTTCACTGAGAACAAAACATTTGAGGTAGAGTCTACCATGTGAAGAAATATTAAAACTTCAGTTTAAACAGATCCCTTTCTTCTGCTTATCATTCACCTGGAGGAATTCCTGCACGCTCTCTGCTAGAAAGTTCATCATCAGTGATAGCACTGAGTGTGTGGAAACAGCTTCCTCTAAGGGAGCGAAGACTGATGTTTCTTGGGATCACAGGTGGAACACTTCATTATCGAGATGCCTCATTAACAGTAAGTTCCTGGTGGTATTATCGTAATGCGATGGGGTGAGAAGTGATTTAAGTAGCTGATACTGACTGAGTAACACCTTTAAATGTAGAGCAAGACTTGCAACCAGTGCAGAGGAAAACAAATCTCCAAAGAACCTTTGCTGCTGTCCCTGCACACTGAATCAAGACTCACAGGTATGGAAACATTTAAGTGGTCACCTAACTCACCCACCATGTCGATACAGGACAACTGGCACCCACTGCATATCATCCCAGTGACCTCACTTGCAGGTCTTCAACAGAAGCCAGCAAATCGTATCCAAGCTGCATAGCTAATTCTTGTTCATCTTTATACTCAGGAATTTTTAAATTTTTAAATGACACAAGAATTATACATATTTATAGGTGCTGTGTGATGTTTCAATTTTAGTGGTTTAATGTGTAATATCCAATGTTCTAAGCTCTTCTAAATTTTTACTTTTTCAGAAA